AAAAGGCGAAGACCCCCTAGCCTTACTTCCTACCTGACAGAAATCTAATGTGTCACAGTACTCCCGGGAGGACCCCTCAATTTGCCCCTGTGCTGCAGCCGCCCCTTTGCGGGGTCGGCGGCAGCGGCGGCAGCCCTTAAATAACTATTACTCCAATATAGCCCTAAACCCCAAACCCTAAATATAACCCTAATATCCTATACCAGGGCCCTGGCCCTTCGCCAGGACCTCCATCCTGTTGGAAGCGGTCCAGGTGGTCCAGTAGGAGCTGTCTCAGCTCCAGCTCCTTCTCCAGCAGCTCCTGAGCCCGCTAATCATCAAAGATCATGGTGGAGTTTAGGGTTTAGGGCTTAGGGTTTAGGGTTTGAGATAATGGAAAAAAGAGTACAATCTAGGGTTTAAGGTTTAGGATGGCTAGGTAATATTGGCACAATAGTGGGTCATATATTTTTAGCATAATGGACAAGAAAATGGACACTACCATATTTGGCTTTTCGTGTTCAATCTTGGGGCTTATGTCCATGCATCAAGATGATCTGGCTCTTCAAGTTGGACGCATCCTGCAGTTAGCAAACGAGCTATGTATCGTGTTCAGCCCCGGTCCCTATCTAATTGCCGGAGGAAGGAAGGCGGGTTGTGAATTCAACAGTACCAGCCACTACTCTCCTTCGGTTTGAGTAATATATGCCACATACACAACCAAGGCCCCAGCATCTGCCGGTAAGGAATCAAAGAATGCCTTTTTGCTGGCCTGCGATGTGCATATGAAAAGTCGCAACCACCAAAGCACCTCATCTCTTATCCCATTGCAGCTGGGAAGAGGAAGCCTGCATCTAGGATCTTACTGCTCCTGCCTCCGTGACATCTTTTCGATCTCGGTTCTTCGCTCTTTCGCGGTCCCGGTCCTGCATTGATTCCAAGGCTTTCAGCCCTGGTAAGCTTCAAATCTGTAAATGCCATAAACTGATGAGACCTTCAAATCCAGCAAATCAATGCTCATGGAGAAGATCTCGCACAATCGTAAGATATTCTAAGTATCTGAGGGGAAGTGACTGCACAGAACTTTCCTGGTGCAAGATTTCCTCCATCAGCAGCAAGAGATTCATCAAGCATACCCCATTCCTGCCCGTGCCCAGGGCTCTTCCCCGGCCATGGCATCGGCGGAGGCATCCTGCAGGTTGAGGACGATCCATGCACAAGGCTTTGCTGCTCTTCTCGGCTGAGCACGCAACCCCATGGGAACCATGGGTGGTGGCATGTGCGGGATAGGCATTGGGTGCGCGTGCGGCGGTGGCCCATGTGGCCTCCAATTCCAGTAGGCCCACATACGAATTTCGACAGTTTCAAGTTCCAGCTTAGGTGGTGGCATGCGGTAGCCTCCCCCACGCAACACTTGCACCTGCGGAACGCTGCGGCCCGAATTTTTGCAGACTTCACCAAGCTAGTAAAACTGTCAGTCCAGGTGACCCTCTCGGCAATAGCCGGGCGGGCTGCCGGTGTAAGGTTGATCTCCTCATGCTCATTCGGATTTCAAGCTCAGTGTTTGCACAAGGCGATAGCAAAGTACTGCAAGAAGCTCCAAGCGAATTCAGATACTTGTACCAGCAAAGTTGCCGAACCCAGATTAAGGCCGCAACCAGACCGGACGGACCCTTCTGGAGAGTCCTCAGCAACTTACCAATTCAATGAGTTTCGATGAGTTCAAGCATACAGCAACCGTGCTTCAAGCAAAACCATCCTGTCGCACTTTCTGGACAAGTGCAAAAGTCTTTTTTAGTCGCATGAGGAGAGCTGCTAGAGAGTCTCAAGCATAGCGTGACAGCAATGGTTCTCCATAGCGGCACCATCGTTATCAGGTAAATGGGTAAGCCCGTGCGGGCTCAACACTAACGTAAAGCTTCCAACCAGGGAAAGTGCCATGACGGCACAGATGCCACAGGCTGGCTTGATGCAAAACATTCTCGGAGCTTCAGGGACTCCTACCTTACCGAAGGTCTCCAACTGAAGATCAGAATTTTCTGTCAAGCAAGGTCAGGAGGTCCAGCTTCTGTGTCAGAGCTCTTGCAGTCTGCATACGGTCATGCACCTGACGAGATATCCTCCGCGCAACAGCTTTATCACCGAATAATGGTAATGCAGATGCAAGACGTCCACCTTGTCATCACCATGTCCTTCATGTTCGTCAGGTGCATGTATAGATATGGACAAGTGTGGAACAGTTGCGATCCAGAGATCATGCTGCTTTTGCAAATTGTCGGCACACGGATTCGAGAGGTCTCCAAGCCAAGAATTTCGTGTGGAAATCCGTGCACAGAGGAAGCCACACAACTAAGTGCAGAATTGCAGGAAGATGCCTCCAGCACTAGCAGCTTGCCGTGCCAGATTTTTGGGGGTTGTCTGTAAGCTACAGACATGCTCCAAGTATACTATGACCTGCAGTGCGGGCCCCTGGCAGGCTGCCAGCATGGTGGACGAGAAGCCACTACAAGGAAAATAGCAGCGGAGATTCACCAGACTTGGATGCCTGTTGCATGCATATGATCTCGAATGCCAAGGCTGCTGGCTTAAGCCATGTTTGGAGACATGAGCCTAACAGGCTGACAGACACTCTGAAAAATGAGCGCTCGCTGCGCTACCGGAGGCCCATCCCGGGCCGCTCTGATCTGCAACTCCTGAGGCAGGAAGTCTTCTGAGAAGCAGACATAATCAGGAAAGCACCATTCCAAATTGAAATATTATCACAATATTAGCCCAATATTGGCCCAATATTATCCCAATATTGTGTTCAGATCTTCAACAGGCAAGGGGCTTGCTGCGCTTGCCACCAGATATCTTTGCACCACTGTTTCGCGGCCGTCGCAACCGCTTGTCCACTTCCGGGAGTGATGCCGGCACTGGGAACCTCAAAGGGCCAACATTGGGATAATATTGGGCTAGTATTGGGATACTATTGGGATAATATTGGGAAAACATTGGGCTACTATTGGGATAACGTTGGGATACTATTGGGCTAATATGGCATAATATTGGGTTAATATTGGGATAATCATGGGATAATCATGGGATAAGATTAGGATAATATTGGGATAATATTGGGATTATACTGGGATAATATTGGGATTATACTGGGAATATTGGGATAAGATTGGGATAATGTTGGGGTAATATGGGGTTTAGTAGGGATAACGGAAAAGAAAATGGAAGCTACTATTTAGTGCATCGCACAAGGGTGGCGCATGTGGCAAAGCAAGCTGACTGCTTGCAAGCAGCAGTTTGCTCAGATCATTCAAGTACGACGGCAGCGAAAGAGCCCTGCTCCAGCAAGCTCGAGCAAATGCACAACGATTCGCAAAACATTAGTATATTCGCATTACCATTATTAGCATTACTGTTATGAATATATCATGACTATTAGTAATATTACGAAGCGCCACCAAGGCAAGACATGTCCATCAAACACGCTGCCTCTTCTCATCCTCTTCATACCTTCACAGACAATCCAGCTCAAACGAAATGTATCAACAAGCGCTATTCTTGTCAATATTCCTGCATCAAAAGGTGTCTTGGTCACAGACACGCTTCCCAGCCGGAGCACGGAAACACAAAAAGTTTAGTCAAGGGGCTCTTCTTTGCCCACCACACCGTGCTTGGGCAGGCCAGAACTGCTGAAACCAATCTTCTTGAAGAAGCGTGCCACGCTGCGTGTGTGGTCAAGGCCCGCGTAGAAGAACAGGGCCTGGACAGCGGCTCAGACTAGGGGGTTATTAAGGAGGACACTAGGAGTTTAGACTATAGCCCCAAAAGAGTTAATAAGGACTACTGCATGTTCAGAAAGACTGTGACAGCTTGCATGCCACTGGTAGAAAATGCTGAGGCGACCGCAACCTTTGCACCCTTTGGGGCTGACAGTGCTGCTTCAGCTGCCTTCAAGACCATCGCCAGATCGACGGACCCTGCAGACTGATTCCATGTTTTCAGGACACGACTTCAAAAGCCGATATTGCAATCAGGAGACGAAGCTGGAAAATGTCAACCATGATCCTCAGCTGTCCCCTGATTGCAGCGCGTTACACTTAACACCTTTGTACCGTCCTCTTGGCTGTACACCCGCATGGTGCCGGTTGAAATTTGAAGATTAGAGCTACTGTCTCCCTTTTGCCCATGCGTGCTACACGGTGCCAAGCACCCTGCTGTGACCCTCGGACACGCTGCTTTCGTTTGCCTTCCCCAGATCCGTACGTCTTCACATGAAACTTCTGACTGCCAACTAACTTTTCGAGACGCGAATGCATGCATCAATGCCTTCAGTGCGTTTGCTGTCATCTTATGATCCCTGCGTTGAGATTCTACCCCATCTGTTTCCGACGGGCCGCTTGGACAGAACCTGCTCCCGCGCAGTAGACCTGCACCAGCTCCAATGATTCAGTCTGTTCCATCTGGTACTGACCAAAATGGAGCCTCCTGCTTTTGCAGAATTCCTTGAAGGCCTCTTCAACAGAAGGGATGTTGATGTCTCTCCTGGGATTCTCACATTGGTCCAAGACAGAGGGTCTGCTGGAATCTGAAAGGTTGCCACCAAGGCTCAGGTTATAGCGCTTCGGCTTGGACTTGCTTGGCGCGAACTGCTTCCGCCGCAGTTTGACAGGATCGTGCGTATCAATGTCGCTGAAGATCTTCCCGTGGCATGCCCGGAGCCACGCCACGAAATTGTCTCCTGGGAATGGCGAATGCTCTAGCGAATGCGCGCAGGCTACGCACGGCTAAGCTATGTGACGGCCTTCCGCATCAGCACCCTTTGGATCTGCCAGCATCTTGTTGACAGCTGTCTGATACCTGGCTCTGCTGCAAATCTGTGCCAACAAGCGGCTCGCGGCAGCTCCTAGGGCAATCTGATTAAGGGCTATGGATTCGCTAAGGACAACTGGTTGCACCATACTTTTGCAGCAGTCACGATGTCGCCGGCCCCACGGGAGCGCAGGCGTTCTGCGATGCCTCACACGCAAAAACGCAGGGGATTTGGGGGAAGCAGAGGCGGCTTTGCACACTCTGATAGCCACCCGCTACGAGCCCGAAGCCGCAGGCCTGACAGCCAGGTCCTGGGCTCTTGGAAGCCCCGCGCTGCAAGGAAGCGATCCACGGGGGCTGCCCTTCCAGCCGGAAGGTTAGCCCCAGCCCAAAGTCATAAACAGTTGTGATTCCTGGGAAAACTCCTCTGGCCTCACGGGAATTGTCCGCCTCCCTGACGCACAGACGCCTGGTGGGCGACGCTGCACCTCGCCCGTCTCAGCGACGCAGAGCTGCGAGCGCACGTGGAGACAGCGCCGAGTCTCCTCGCTGAACCCAGAAATCTCTCATCCCTAGTATTCCAGAGACAAGATCTGTCGCGTGTCATATCCCATAGTAGAGGGTAGGGTAGAGGTGTGATTGAGGTGATGGCAAGAAGCCCGCTCCTCATTGAGACGCAGCATCGACACTGCGTCTGGCACAGTGTCAAAGAACCTTGCCATCATCGACTTATAAGCGAACCCCAGCACCACTGGCAGGGACGACGCAATTTAAGACAGGCACAGGGCTTGGAAGAAGCGCCGCATGTTGTCCTGGGAAGTGCAGAACAATTCTCCACAAACTTGGCTCAACGACACTTGAACATGACATCTTGCACGGTCTCATCTGAGCCCAAGCATCTGCACTGCCCACGCATTGCTTCAGAAAGGGAGCGTAGTCTGCCTTCACCTGGCACAAGCCGAAAACAGAATCAGCCCCCCTTCTGCTGGACTACAGAATCATCTACAGGCAAAAGCATGACAGGATCCCGGCATGATGTGCGTAGTATAGAAGGTCTGCTGCACCTCCGAAGAATGCCTTGCCGCACGTTGCATTGAAAGCTTGGAAAAATCTGCATGCTTTCATGCACCTCCCAAGATGGCAGCGGCTCATCCTTGCAACTTCAGAGCTGACCAAGTCCCCATTGAAAACTCCCGTGTCCTTGAACTCGGCGCGGTCCCCAGCTGCAGCCAGGAGGGCTTCCTCCTGGCTCCTGGGCGGCGCACTACCTCTGCCAGGGCAGTGATGGGATTGAAGGTCCGTCTTCGGATTCAACAGTATGCTTGTTGCGTGCTTACACTCCAAGCCAAGATGCCCTTCAACCGGTCGTAGCTACCCCGGAGATACGGGGGAAGATGCTCGTCCTCGCCAGGCTGGCGGATTTGCCATGCGCACATTGCGTTAGCTCCGGGGTCCTCTGCATCCCCAAGCCCGCGCGCATCCACACAGTGCACGCGCGATGCAGGCAGTTCAGATAGCAGACGACGGCGAAGGAAGTCCAAATAAGATCCTGCATTAACACTGGAGAGAGAATTCCCGTTTTGTGGTAGCACATGTGCAATAGAGCCCTAGGAGCCTGCACCAGGGGTTGCTGCTTCCTCAGCATCTTCCTGGACCAGCAATGTGCTATCGGCCCTTCTGAGACCGAAGGAGCAAAGCTGATGACTGTTCAAACCTGCCTCAGCGTCTAGCCCGATTGCTTGCAACCTCTCGTGGGCCACAGGTGCCGAGGCCTCTCCAATCAGCCCCTGAGACGCTCCACTGTGCTGTGGGGTCTCTTTCAAATGGTGAAACACACGAAGTGAACTTCAGCCCGCCTCACCAGGCGCCACAAAAAGCTCCAACTCTTCTGCTCGGACCGGTGCTTCGAGTATCACCTCAACCTTGTAGGCATTGGAACAGGAATGCGCAATGACGTGTTACAAGCAACCATCCAGGCAGGCTGCATGGACATCTTTGGATCCAACCTGCATCCGGGACAAGAAGATGAAGTGGACATCGCGTGGGTCAGACCAGCTGCGGATTATCAGCCACGTAGAAAGTCCCATGCTTGCAGACAAAAATGCCAGCAGCCGTACTACAATTTGTACCCCAGCGGCGAGGGCCCATCCAATGTTGCTTGGAATGGTCAACATACAAGTAAAGCCTGTGCCTGATGCAAGAGCCAGTCATCGAAGAGTTCGAAGCCTTCAGCACGCCTCTTCTCCTTCCGCTGGCGAATCAGCAAATCCTGACCATACTGCAAGCGAGTATTCACATGATGGCGCTGACCCTTTATCGACAAAGCAACTGTCCATTGTGAATGCATTGCATTCACGGTCAGAAGCTGTCGTTGCTGCATGATTGGAATTTGACCAGCAAGTTCCACGGGCGATGTCTAACTAAGGGCGTCCAGTGATGCAAGCTTGTCATTGATGTCGTTTGGTGCAGTTCAACGCTTGAGGGAGCCCCTTGACATTGGCAGTCCTGCTCCTCCACTGAGAGACGCTCCTGCGGCGAGGGGTGGCTAGTCAAGGCCGACGAGGAGAACACAAGCAGTAACAGTATGCTGTCCAGTGCTTGCTAAGCATCTCTACCTTCATACTCGGAATCTAAGATAGTGCTCCTGGCCTCCGGCTCCAGGCGTCTGCGGTTGAATGCGCGTGCTTCCTGGCTTCTGCAGCTTCGACTCCCTGTGTTACCGTCTAACTGGAGAGCGTTGACACCTCATCCAAATCTCCGAACTCAAAGATGGACGCGCTGGGCGATGGCAGAGCCTGGCCGAGAAATTCTCGAGAAATCGGAAGGAAATGAAGCCTACTAGCAACTCAGCAACTCTGTGTTCTTGGGCTCTTGCTTCAAACTATGCGTAACAAGTTGCCTACGCAGTTTTACCATGTTTTACTGCTAGTGCTAAGCACCCCGACTTGGAGCTTTGGCAGCGCCTGGCGCTTGCCGGTACCGATCTGCTTCGGCAGGAAGACAGTTGCAACTCCGCGCTTCCTGCATGGTCGCAGGGTTGCATGGAACATCCCATTTTGGAGTCAGTCCTGGATTTGGGCTCGAACACCAGCACTGCACCGGTCACCACGACATCCTGACCAAGGCCAAAAACCACCAGGAGGAAAGACAGCTGTGAATGCTCAGCTGCGCAGAGCCTCATCTGTGTCTGCCAGGAGCTCGGAAGCCCAACGCTGCGCACCGCGCAGCGATAGGCGTCCTGCAGTCCATGACATGAGCCACGTGATGTCACAGAAACAAGGAGAGGGGGAGAGAGAGAGAGGGGGAGAGCGAGAGNNAGAGAGAGAGAGAGCGAGCGAGAGTTTGTGTGATATCTTGGGAGGGATGTACTATGCCTGAAAACTTGTACGTATTTCTCAGCGTAACCAGCCGTAAACGCTCAGCTGAGGAGAATTTTACTGCCACCACGCTCATTCCAAAGGGGACCTGGCACCGTGACCTAGCGTGTCAAAAGAAAGGCTAGGAAAATCCCCCACGGTTCCTTCCTCCAAAATAGCCCCCCTGGAAATTGCAAGTGGTGAAATTTGGCAATACTTGGCACCTGGTCATATCTGATGGCAATCGCGCAGGGATTCGAAAACTGGCAAATCACCCATAATTCCGTCCTCCAAAATACTCCCCTGCAAACTGTAAGTGGTGAAATCTGGCATTGCTTGGCAACTGCTCATATCTGGTGGCATTCGTGGAGGTAGGACATTAGAGTCAAAAAAGTGGAAAATCCCCCACACTCCCCTCCTCCAAAATCCCCTCGGAAACTGGAAACTGGAGAAATCACTCATAGTTCCCTCCTCCAAAATACCCCCCTGCAAACTGTGAGTAGTGAAACTGAAAACTGGGCAAATTTTGCACTGCCTGGCACCCGTACGAGTATTAAAAATTGGAGGAAAGACGTTACCGCTTTCTGGGGCTGACGCATCAAAAAAAAAA